TAATTCTAGATATTTTGCCACCTGACATGACAAACGGAGGCAATCACATTTTCAATTACGAAATATAATATGGAAAATGTAGATAACGTTGGTCAATGTTGAAGGTAAACGTCCACGGGATCAGCAAAGGAAGTGTAAGAGATAGTCTAAAGGCGAAAATTATTGCAAAAAGCAGGGAGGAAGAATATTGCCCTGCATTTGGGAACTGCCCTAAGAAAAAATGAGGGAAAGACAAATGTCTTAGCACTGAATAAATCTCCATTCCGTTTTCAGGCTGATTTGGTTTTCTTGACAACTTAATTTGAGGTATGTTATAAATGTATAATAAACCAATTATCGACATCGGGTTTTCGTAATATCTAGAATAATTAAGGTATTGTGTTGTCAACCTCAGGAGTTAAAATGCATCGGATTGTATTCGCTGTGTCCCACATCATGATAACAGTATTCACGATTCAGAAACACACCATTTCGTTTGCAGTTTTTCCCTGATAGTGTGTTATCAAACCTCAGTGTAGTCCTCCAAGAGTCACTTTTGTAAACGAATGTTACCATAGTGACCTCTAAGGACCGTAGAACATGTACTTAATGTTGAAAGGCATATGTCCGGCACTATTGAAATAGACCATATTTGTATTCTCGATATTGAATTGGAATTACCTTGCGATGAAAGCTCACGCGGGGGATTATCATTAAAAGGAGATTAATTTCATTTGCATCTGAAAAGGTTCCTTTCACTCCCTTTAAATCTATTTTTTTAATTTTAAAATTTAATTGAGTTAAAATTTAAAAATAGCTAAGCAGTGACGTTTATCGCTGTTCACCACCTGATGAGTTATTTTAACAAAGATCTTTGTCTTTTCTGTTGGATTTGGATCAAAAGCAATTTGTCTGTTCTAAATGAACTTTTCTTAGTCATGAAAGGTACCGCAGAACGACAAGTTCACATCAAAACACAAAGGCGCAATTCTTCTGGCGAGAGGAGATAAAACTAAGAAGGAAGAATGTCTGGGGGGGACTCTACAAAGTTGTTTACGGGGAGGCTCCGCCCCAAGGTCCAACACCCAACCCTTTGCATACCATTTTGACAGAAAAGGTGCCCCTCTCGTATACCTTTAATTGAATAAAGGTAGCCCCTTTCCCACACTTTCATAAGTGGCCCGTATCATGAATAAATCGCCAAAAAAGGAAGTCTTCTTGTCGTTTTTATATGGTGCCTAATAAATGAAATGATACACTCATAAGATGCGTCTGTTCGAAATATTTTAATTAAGGCCCCTTAAAACTAAGTAAATGACAGATTTCCCCACCCTTTCATATACCTCAACTTGTTTAATCCCTACCCTTTTATATACCTGAAGGTTGAAAGAGGTACTCCTTTCCGGCGAAGCCTCCCCGAATAGGCCAATATAAGTAGCACACCTGTGTGGAAAATATACCTAGTGAACCATTACAAGATGTTTCAAGGTTTGTTTCCAAACTTGTACCAAGTATGAACAAAAGAAAAACAGTGAAATAAGTGTCGTGTGGCCAAACGTTTCAGTAATCTCGCGGATTTAGAGAAATAAACTTATTGATGTTGAGTACGTTCTTAACAACTGGATAACCGCTCTGGGCATTTGATTATTTAAGGAGAAAGATAAGCCGGATTCCTTAGCTTCAGTTATATTTATTTTTTCCACTGGCCGTTGTTCCCACTAATCCCACACTACACGCTGCTCTCCAGCTGACTAAGTGCCTAAAACAGATAACAACAACAAGCTCAATAAAAAAAATAGTTTTAAAGTATGTTTGTAAGAAAGTAGGAGATTTGTAGCAAATACAAGGACTATTCCGTATGGTTTAAAACCTTTTTGCCAGCTCGTTGTCGGACCAGAAATTGCCAATTTATGTTCGACCAATCCTCGGTACTTTTTCCAGCAGTTTGGTCTAGACCTGAATTTTTTTCGCGACGATAATGTTCGGACACATCTGAATTAACATTATTCATAGCCGTTAGTTGAGGGCGTGGATGGAGTTTAACTGTTGGCTGAGACTTGGCCACAATTTGAACTGTCATTTGACAAAGGACGTGTTTTTTAACACAGGCTAAGATCTGAGATCTGCAAAATTTAATGACAGGTGAGAAATGGGCTGAAATTTGTATTGATAGCTCGGAGCTCGAGAGAACTGATAACTGACGCCACCAGTACTTTACCAAATCCGGTTTCTCTAAACCGGCCACCTCTCTATTAAGTGACCAGTTGTGAAAGTCCCGAAATTATTGGCAGTAAAATGTAAATAAAACCACTATTAACCGGCCACCGCTGCCACCTTTTGGTCATCCCGTTGAGGGTTTTCTAACCTCGTCACCCTTAATAAGCAGCCACCCAAAATTTATACACATAGTGTGCCTTCGTTTTGGAAACATGAGGCGATGACAATTAGGAGTCCGAAATGGAAAGTTACGACTGATAAAAACATTCAAACACACGTCTGTTATGATTTTCTTGACGTGATTCCATGTTCACTAAGCAACTAACCCGGCGCAGCCAAGGTGAAACAAAAAATTGTGATGGTGATTTTAATAAAGGAAATAGTATTTTCGTGACAAGTGCATCAAGAAAACAGTGATGGGCTTTATTATTATACATTGTAGTCACCATCTTTCTTCTCATTGGCTAAAAGCCTACAGTTAATTCTGGGAAACAGCGCAACTTACAGATTAGTCACTAACCTGCTAGCAGATTAGTCATCAGTAGGTTGCGCGCGCAATAGCTCGCTATGTATGATTTCCAATAGCCATGTCAAGTTCCCGTAAGAACATGGCTTGTCGAAAATAAACTGTGTTCGGTGCGATAATGCGTTTGTCGTCACTTTCTTTAAAACAATGTATAATGAAAAAATTCTGAGATTCGGTTTTTTGATATCTCGAAAAAATCAAGGTCTCGGTTAGTGTTATCAACCTCAGCCTTCGGCTTCGGCTGATAACACTTACCTCGACCTTGAGTGCTCCAGATATCACAAAAAACCTCATCCTATAATTGTTTATTATGTTTTGTGTTGTTTATTATGTACAGCAGCACTGAATCACAAGCCTTCAAAAATTGTTTTAATTTGAATAAATCGACGTTTCTTTAAAGTCTCAGGCTAATTTCTTACGGGCCCCTTTTAGCGACCAACTCCTGGACCAACCCCTATTAAACGGCCACCTCCCGACCACCTCCCAGTTTCCCGAAGGCAGCTTATGTTAGGCATATTCAAAGTCCAGAATATCTGCAAATTTCAAGAGAATATTAAGCGCACGTAGAACTGAATATTTACGATTTTCAAGGAAATATATTGAAGAGAAACTGTGTCTGCTATTTTCAATGGAATATTTGTTCTCGTCACATCTTGGGCTTTGGCATATTATAATCCAGGCCTAGTCAGCCGCTGAAAATCGATATCGGAAATCAATGGACTCAATCGATAACAATCGACAACTCACGAAAAAATTTCTTTATCGATTGCTATCGATTGGCAAAAATCGATAACAATTGATAATTCCTGTCTTCAAGAATATCGATTGTTATCGATTTTAAAAAAAATTGACAATAACCACCCGGACTATTCAAAGATGGCTTTGTTATTGTGTAAAATAAATATATGTTTTTGGCCGGCTTAGGGTCGATCCGTGTAGTGAAGAACTGTGACCGAGGTCTTGAAAATGCTGCCCGAGGCCGCAGTAACGGCTCTTTGAAGAAGTCACTGAAAGAGAAACTCTCTGATTGTAAATTAAATGCAATGAGGATGGAACAGCTTGACCGCAGGACTGAACAACTTCAAGAGTTATTTGTGATTTTATTCGAACTTGACTGAATTTTTCTTGAAACTATGATTTATGAGCTGTATTCAGTTGTCTAGCAGCAGAGTCAAATGATTTATATATGATATACGCGATATAATTCAACCATTATACTTCCGCCCCACAGTACTAACGTTTGCCTTTTCTGTTTATGCAGCCTTTTCCACTTTGTTTATGTGGGTAGTTAGGAAAATACATAAACGGAACTTTTAATTTCATGTGTTACACGTCCGCTTTGTCTGAAACGACTGTTACCGTCAGAAACGTTTTTTAGCCATCCGAAAGTAACGGCTACCCGAAAGTTGCCTGCTAAATCCGAAAGTAATGGGGGCCGTTACTTTCGGAATTCTACGGTACTTCCAGACGATTCGACTGATGTTAAGCATTGTGTGGTAATCAGGAAAAGGGGCTAAAATGTGCCATATTATGTACACTCATTAAACTAACAAATTATGAACACTTTTTCAAAGGGGCAACTCTTTCATGTCAAGATGCGGAAGTGCGAAAATGCTGATCAATGTACCGACAATGGAACAAAGAAACTTCTCAATAAATTTATATGAGATGTCGATCAACACGGAATAAAAAATACCGTTTTCCTGTCCTATCGCGATTCTCGTGATGTATCAAACTTGGTGGAAGTTGCCCATAAAATGGACAATAGGCGCCGGCTGGGCAGAACAATCACGTTCACGCTACCCCAATGGTATAAAAAAAGTCAGACAGTGTTTGCTCAGCCCAGTTTTATGTTTACAATGACCTTAATTGATGTTCATAACTGTGTTGCGTGAAAAAAAATTCGAAAAGTCAACTGTTTTTCAAAGGTGCAAAGAAAGTTTAGTCTAGATCATTAGAGTTCATTAGAGCTCCACTGGGTTATCCTAGTAGATCAAAAAGGTTTGGAAATTGATCGACAAAATCAGGCCCTAGTAAAGTCCACACGGGTTCACACAAGTTTTAGACCCCCGGATCGACTTTAAAATAGCGGTGTATTTTAATCAGGATTCCACGAAGTTCGTGTAAAGGTGTCAACAAATAGCGCTTACCTAAATATGCAAATAACCTCAACATCGCAGGCTTGTTGCTACGGGTATCCATGGAACATTTATTCAAGGAACCAGATTGTCCTTTCATTGTTTTCCTTGAATAAGAATTAAATATGCATATGCATGAAGGAACGAGCCAAGTTTGAAGTTTTCTCGCGATCTCTTCCGATTTAACTCTCGTGTAGGTCAAAGGAAAATAATGACTCTGCAAAACGCTCTCAGGGTACGAGACAAAAATATCAAAAATCATTCGAACAAGGCCGGTTCGGCCCACGCTTGTGTCGAACACCGGAACAGCTAAATAAACTGCCGCAACAGGTTATCTAAAATAATCGTTTTATTAGCGTCCTTTCACAGTATTTAGGGAATCGAACGGCATTGAAGTGAAACAGTTTCTATCCTCGATGGACAAGAAACTGGAGTCCGGCGTATTTGGGAACCAATTACATAGACTGGTCTAATCTAGGCTTACATGTAATATAATTCTGTTTTTATTGCAGATTTATGTAATACCTTTATTCTTTCAAGACAAAGGTGACAGGACTTGAAATCACCTGAGTAAACTTTAATTTAGAAACTAAAGGGAAGGTGACGAACTTCAGAGTTGTTGCAAGCTCTCAACGCCACGTACGGTGTAGGTCAACCTATGTAACTCGAGAACAGGATTTTTAAGAGTCAGAACACGATGTGTTGTTTCTGAACTTTGTCCGTCGTCAGGTGGAAATCGCGTCACAAGTTGACTTGCTATGACAGGAAAACCTTAAAATGGGGCATCAGGCACTTCCTAAATACTTGGACGCTTTAAGTCTCTGTTATTGAAGAGAACAGCGATGTTTACATAAACAGTTGGAGTGGTTCTTCTGGACGTTTCCTCTGATCTGCATTGGTGTGCCCGCCGCTAGACTTGAAGTCGGTTTTATCAGTACTAATTCTTGTAGAATCAAAACAAACGTTCATCTTAAGTAGATCTGTCTAAGATGGCTTTTTGCAACCTTCAACTGAGAAGATCATTGATGATACTAGTGTCGTTATCGCTGCTGAGCTCTGCAACGGACCAGCGGCACAAACAACCTGATAGCGACTCTTCGCAGGGCAGCCATGATGTTTTTAATAGGACAGTGGTTTTAAACAGCGCTAGCGAACGGTACTTAGCGATGATATTTCACGATTTCTCGGATAATACCACGGGAAAAATCTCCGCTGCTCGATTTAAAGATTTGCTACGGGATTTGAGTCTTGGAGAGAAGGTTCCAAAGACGAAACCATCGTCATTACAGGAACAAGAATCTTCCGACAGTCATCACCGAAATTCAAGGAGTTACGATGAACAAGAGGGTGCATTTGGTGAATTTGCTCGTGGAATTTCAGGACAGCGGAGCAGACAAAAGCGCAGAAGCACGAAACAGTCCAAACGAGAGACGAAATCACAACTTAATTCCCATGGCAGTCCCGCTAGGTCTCGAGACAGGAAGCGACGAAACATGGAAGATCTTGACGAGCGCAATTTGGTGAGTTACTAAAACGAGCATAGTTCTTTCGCGTTGTTAGTGTAATACCCGAGGAATTATATAATGGTGCAATTGATTTTTGTTTATGTTTGGGAAAGTGAGCTCAAAAATCGATAATCTGTTTACCTTGGTTCGGGCTGCGTTATAAGAACAAAGATAGGAGTAGTAAGGTATATGCAAATATTTGTATGTAACTCCCTTAATTCTCTTCATGCAGACAGCATGTTTCTTTTTTTGAGCTGAGTCGAGGTTAAGTAAAGGTTATCGCTCTGTTTTCGTTTCCGGCAACGATTTCCAGTTGTTGCCATTAAAACTTGAGATTTTATCTACAGGTGGACGGCTGTCCGTTTGTTTGAGTGGTGTGCTGTTAAAACCTCCGGACGGCTCTGCTTAGTCTGCTAATGAAGATTTATTTGTATTCAGAAGAAGTTACAACGAAATGGTGATTGAGCCATGTAGTGTTCTTTAGCTTCTTGAGTTTAATACGTCTATTGTAAGATCACATTCGACCAAAGAAGGAATTAAGGAAGAATAAAACAGGAAATTTGTCAACAGGCGCCGGTGGTCCCTCGGCTCCTCACCTCGGGTATTGCTCCTTCTCTTCACCGAGTTAGCCGGCTTCACCCCTCCCAAACTTACCGAGAATGGCGACGCTTTCTTAAAATGGTGGGTGGGATTTCAAGCATCTGCTAATCAGCTCATCGTGGTCTTTAGTGGTCTAAAAGCTCCTCACAAGGCCAAACAAGTTGTCTACCTCAGTTTTTCTCTCGACTGCCGTCACTCTTCAAATAATCTCGCGAAATAGTCACGTCTCCAAAAGACGAGAAAAACACTAGACATCACTCCGTGACAATTTCGGTTTTGCTTTTTATTGAACCATCGTTTAAACTGCTGTTCATTGAAGTTCATTTAGTGTAGTTTTCATGCAAAAACTGAAGTGTAATGGTATAAGAACATCGATTGGAAAATAATTCTCTCAATATTTTCTATTTGAATCATGTCGGTGACAACCTTGAAACGGTTAGAACTATCGGCCTTGTCACAGGATCATAAATAGTACCACGTAAATATATGTACTGAAAAAATGCTTTCATTTGAAAAGTCAGTTGAGCTCCAGGGGATAATCCACTTTAAAATGTCATATTATTATTCGAAAACATTTATTTCATGACATTCGTCTGAACAAAAGCCAAATTCGTTACTGCGTATTTCCCTTTAGGTATACACGTACATTAAGTATCCAATTCTTCATGGCTTTTTTAGACATTTTCTCTGCTTCGCCTTGGTAAAAACTGTCCTTGTATTAATCATGCCACGTACGGCATATTTAAAATGATAAAGTTTTACGTTTTCATGACTTAAATGGAATTATACTGGACAAAGTGGCTCTAACCAACACCAGTGTGTCAGTGGATAAAACCTTAGTGTGTGTCCCGAGCCTAAGTGTGTGCCCCGAATCAAATGAGCTATTCAAAAAAGTACATTTTCTTCCGTATCGACGTATTCTCTAGTTCTTACGTCTTTGGATGAAACTTATATTGCTTTGCCATTCTAATCACATAATTTTTCACTTTGGAATACTTGTGTGTCGATATGTAGATTCGTTGGTATGGAGGTTACGCAGTCATGCTAAGAAATGAATACTTTTAAAGGACTTTGGGAGTTGTCACTCGACAGCATCTCCGTTTTTAATTACTTCAATTCATTCTGGAAATTTTNTGCGCGCGCAATAGCTCGCTATGTATGATTTCCAATAGCCATGTCAAGTTCCCGTAAGAACATGGCTTGTCGAAAATAAACTGTGTTCGGTGCGATAATGCGTTTGTCGTCACTTTCTTTAAAACAATGTATAATGAAAAAATTCTGAGATTCGGTTTTTTGATATCTCGAAAAAATCAAGGTCTCGGTTAGTGTTATCAACCTCAGCCTTCGGCTTCGGCTGATAACACTTACCTCGACCTTGAGTGCTCCAGATATCACAAAAAACCTCATCCTATAATTGTTTATTATGTTTTGTGTTGTTTATTATGTACAGCAGCACTGAATCACAAGCCTTCAAAAATTGTTTTAATTTGAATAAATCGACGTTTCTTTAAAGTCTCAGGCTAATTTCTTACGGGCCCCTTTTAGCGACCAACTCCTGGACCAACCCCTATTAAACGGCCACCTCCCGACCACCTCCCAGTTTCCCGAAGGCAGCTTATGTTAGGCATATTCAAAGTCCAGAATATCTGCAAATTTCAAGAGAATATTAAGCGCACGTAGAACTGAATATTTACGATTTTCAAGGAAATATATTGAAGAGAAACTGTGTCTGCTATTTTCAATGGAATATTTGTTCTCGTCACATCTTGGGCTTTGGCATATTATAATCCAGGCCTAGTCAGCCGCTGAAAATCGATATCGGAAATCAATGGACTCAATCGATAACAATCGACAACTCACGAAAAAATTTCTTTATCGATTGCTATCGATTGGCAAAAATCGATAACAATTGATAATTCCTGTCTTCAAGAATATCGATTGTTATCGATTTTAAAAAAAATTGACAATAACCACCCGGACTATTCAAAGATGGCTTTGTTATTGTGTAAAATAAATATATGTTTTTGGCCGGCTTAGGGTCGATCCGTGTAGTGAAGAACTGTGACCGAGGTCTTGAAAATGCTGCCCGAGGCCGCAGTAACGGCTCTTTGAAGAAGTCACTGAAAGAGAAACTCTCTGATTGTAAATTAAATGCAATGAGGATGGAACAGCTTGACCGCAGGACTGAACAACTTCAAGAGTTATTTGTGATTTTATTCGAACTTGACTGAATTTTTCTTGAAACTATGATTTATGAGCTGTATTCAGTTGTCTAGCAGCAGAGTCAAATGATTTATATATGATATACGCGATATAATTCAACCATTATACTTCCGCCCCACAGTACTAACGTTTGCCTTTTCTGTTTATGCAGCCTTTTCCACTTTGTTTATGTGGGTAGTTAGGAAAATACATAAACGGAACTTTTAATTTCATGTGTTACACGTCCGCTTTGTCTGAAACGACTGTTACCGTCAGAAACGTTTTTTAGCCATCCGAAAGTAACGGCTACCCGAAAGTTGCCTGCTAAATCCGAAAGTAATGGGGGCCGTTACTTTCGGAATTCTACGGTACTTCCAGACGATTCGACTGATGTTAAGCATTGTGTGGTAATCAGGAAAAGGGGCTAAAATGTGCCATATTATGTACACTCATTAAACTAACAAATTATGAACACTTTTTCAAAGGGGCAACTCTTTCATGTCAAGATGCGGAAGTGCGAAAATGCTGATCAATGTACCGACAATGGAACAAAGAAACTTCTCAATAAATTTATATGAGATGTCGATCAACACGGAATAAAAAATACCGTTTTCCTGTCCTATCGCGATTCTCGTGATGTATCAAACTTGGTGGAAGTTGCCCATAAAATGGACAATAGGCGCCGGCTGGGCAGAACAATCACGTTCACGCTACCCCAATGGTATAAAAAAAGTCAGACAGTGTTTGCTCAGCCCAGTTTTATGTTTACAATGACCTTAATTGATGTTCATAACTGTGTTGCGTGAAAAAAAATTCGAAAAGTCAACTGTTTTTCAAAGGTGCAAAGAAAGTTTAGTCTAGATCATTAGAGTTCATTAGAGCTCCACTGGGTTATCCTAGTAGATCAAAAAGGTTTGGAAATTGATCGACAAAATCAGGCCCTAGTAAAGTCCACACGGGTTCACACAAGTTTTAGACCCCCGGATCGACTTTAAAATAGCGGTGTATTTTAATCAGGATTCCACGAAGTTCGTGTAAAGGTGTCAACAAATAGCGCTTACCTAAATATGCAAATAACCTCAACATCGCAGGCTTGTTGCTACGGGTATCCATGGAATATTTATTCAAGGAACCAGATTGTCCTTTCATTGTTTTCCTTGAATAAGAATTAAATGTGCATATGCATGAAGGAACGAGCCAAGTTTGAAGTTTTCTCGCGATCTCTTCCGATTTAACTCTCGTGTAGGTCAAAGGAAAATAATGACTCTGCAAAACGCTCTCAGGGTACGAGACAAAAATATCAAAAATCATTCGAACAAGGCCGGTTCGGCCCACGCTTGTGTCGAACACCGGAACAGCTAAATAAACTGCCGCAACAGGTTATCTAAAATAATCGTTTTATTAGCGTCCTTTCACAGTATTTAGGGAATCGAACGGCATTGAAGTGAAACAGTTTCTATCCTCGATGGACAAGAAACTGGAGTCCGGCGTATTTGGGAACCAATTACATAGACTGGTCTAATCTAGGCTTACATGTAATATAATTCTGTTTTTATTGCAGATTTATGTAATACCTTTATTCTTTCAAGACAAAGGTGACAGGACTTGAAATCACCTGAGTAAACTTTAATTTAGAAACTAAAGGGAAGGTGACGAACTTCAGAGTTGTTGCAAGCTCTCAACGCCACGTACGGTGTAGGTCAACCTATGTAACTCGAGAACAGGATTTTTAAGAGTCAGAACACGATGTGTTGTTTCTGAACTTTGTCCGTCGTCAGGTGGAAATCGCGTCACAAGTTGACTTGCTATGACAGGAAAACCTTAAAATGGGGCATCAGGCACTTCCTAAATACTTGGACGCTTTAAGTCTCTGTTATTGAAGAGAACAGCGATGTTTACATAAACAGTTGGAGTGGTTCTTCTGGACGTTTCCTCTGATCTGCATTGGTGTGCCCGCCGCTAGACTTGAAGTCGGTTTTATCAGTACTAATTCTTGTAGAATCAAAACAAACGTTCATCTTAAGTAGATCTGTCTAAGATGGCTTTTTGCAACCTTCAACTGAGAAGATCATTGATGATACTAGTGTCGTTATCGCTGCTGAGCTCTGCAACGGACCAGCGGCACAAACAACCTGATAGCGACTCTTCGCAGGGCAGCCATGATGTTTTTAATAGGACAGTGGTTTTAAACAGCGCTAGCGAACGGTACTTAGCGATGATATTTCACGATTTCTCGGATAATACCACGGGAAAAATCTCCGCTGCTCGATTTAAAGATTTGCTACGGGATTTGAGTCTTGGAGAGAAGGTTCCAAAGACGAAACCATCGTCATTACAGGAACAAGAATCTTCCGACAGTCATCACCGAAATTCAAGGAGTTACGATGAACAAGAGGGTGCATTTGGTGAATTTGCTCGTGGAATTTCAGGACAGCGGAGCAGACAAAAGCGCAGAAGCACGAAACAGTCCAAACGAGAGACGAAATCACAACTTAATTCCCATGGCAGTCCCGCTAGGTCTCGAGACAGGAAGCGACGAAACATGGAAGATCTTGACGAGCGCAATTTGGTGAGTTACTAAAACGAGCATAGTTCTTTCGCGTTGTTAGTGTAATACCCGAGGAATTATATAATGGTGCAATTGATTTTTGTTTATGTTTGGGAAAGTGAGCTCAAAAATCGATAATCTGTTTACCTTGGTTCGGGCTGCGTTATAAGAACAAAGATAGGAGTAGTAAGGTATATGCAAATATTTGTATGTAACTCCCTTAATTCTCTTCATGCAGACAGCATGTTTCTTTTTTTGAGCTGAGTCGAGGTTAAGTAAAGGTTATCGCTCTGTTTTCGTTTCCGGCAACGATTTCCAGTTGTTGCCATTAAAACTTGAGATTTTATCTACAGGTGGACGGCTGTCCGTTTGTTTGAGTGGTGTGCTGTTAAAACCTCCGGACGGCTCTGCTTAGTCTGCTAATGAAGATTTATTTGTATTCAGAAGAAGTTACAACGAAATGGTGATTGAGCCATGTAGTGTTCTTTAGCTTCTTGAGTTTAATACGTCTATTGTAAGATCACATTCGACCAAAGAAGGAATTAAGGAAGAATAAAACAGGAAATTTGTCAACAGGCGCCGGTGGTCCCTCGGCTCCTCACCTCGGGTATTGCTCCTTCTCTTCACCGAGTTAGCCGGCTTCACCCCTCCCAAACTTACCGAGAATGGCGACGCTTTCTTAAAATGGTGGGTGGGATTTCAAGCATCTGCTAATCAGCTCATCGTGGTCTTTAGTGGTCTAAAAGCTCCTCACAAGGCCAAACAAGTTGTCTACCTCAGTTTTTCTCTCGACTGCCGTCACTCTTCAAATAATCTCGCGAAATAGTCACGTCTCCAAAAGACGAGAAAAACACTAGACATCACTCCGTGACAATTTCGGTTTTGCTTTTTATTGAACCATCGTTTAAACTGCTGTTCATTGAAGTTCATTTAGTGTAGTTTTCATGCAAAAACTGAAGTGTAATGGTATAAGAACATCGATTGGAAAATAATTCTCTCAATATTTTCTATTTGAATCATGTCGGTGACAACCTTGAAACGGTTAGAACTATCGGCCTTGTCACAGGATCATAAATAGTACCACGTAAATATATGTACTGAAAAAATGCTTTCATTTGAAAAGTCAGTTGAGCTCCAGGGGATAATCCACTTTAAAATGTCATATTATTATTCGAAAACATTTATTTCATGACATTCGTCTGAACAAAAGCCAAATTCGTTACTGCGTATTTCCCTTTAGGTATACACGTACATTAAGTATCCAATTCTTCATGGCTTTTTTAGACATTTTCTCTGCTTCGCCTTGGTAAAAACTGTCCTTGTATTAATCATGCCACGTACGGCATATTTAAAATGATAAAGTTTTACGTTTTCATGACTTAAATGGAATTATACTGGACAAAGTGGCTCTAACCAACACCAGTGTGTCAGTGGATAAAACCTTAGTGTGTGTCCCGAGCCTAAGTGTGTGCCCCGAATCAAATGAGCTATTCAAAAAAGTACATTTTCTTCCGTATCGACGTATTCTCTAGTTCTTACGTCTTTGGATGAAACTTATATTGCTTTGCCATTCTAATCACATAATTTTTCACTTTGGAATACTTGTGTGTCGATATGTAGATTCGTTGGTATGGAGGTTACGCAGTCATGCTAAGAAATGAATACTTTTAAAGGACTTTGGGAGTTGTCACTCGACAGCATCTCCGTTTTTAATTACTTCAATTCATTCTGGAAATTTTTTTAAAGTAAAATTCCGTTGTTTTTTTTTTTTTTTTTTTTT